GATGAGTAAAAGTGCGAAAACCAATCAGAAATGTATAAAACGTAGTTAAAAGGGTCAAAAAAAAAAACTACTGGTTATCAAAAATCAAAACTCCCTCCGCATTCTCTCTCGATGAGAGGTAACAGTACTCGGGAAGTAGCTCGAATAGTAGCAAGTGTCACCAGCAGCCACTGATTAGCAAGGCTGTCTATAGCATGTTATTATTAAACTGTAAAATAAGTGCAAAAAACTGAAATATTCAAGGACACTAGCTCTTTGCTTCCTTCCTGGCCTTACTAGAACTTCAAATTTTTTTCTTCCTTAGTTCTTCATATCGTTGCTCTGGCTGAAAACCCATCTTTAACTGCTTTCGTATCAATTTTAATCCCCTATTCACGGAGCCAAAGATACTGAGAGCGTTCCCATCATGACCAAAAAGGCGGTTAAGACTCTCCACCAGATAAGCCATTGTGCGGGATGACACTGCGCCCACATGAGAAAGTAAAATCCGATTGGCAGGGCGCACTGCTGGCCTTACCCACTACAGGTGAACATCGTGCATCAGTGAGTGGTACCCATAAGGAAGTTGTCGACCACTTGGACGGCTTCTGAGTGAATGACTTACCTACAAAGAATAAGTTGTAGATACTAGCGAGAGGTAGGCAGCTCAGGATCAAACGCCCGACAATTTTGCGCGTTATCTTTAAGTGCAGCAGTTTATCATATTAAAATGGGATCTCCACACCGATCATACGGATGGTGTTGGTATTCTTGGCATTTTAGCAGCAAAGCGTTAGCAAGATAATAGAGAACCGAGCCGAGGAAAAAAACTACCATAATCGTTTAAGGAATTAAACTAAAAAGTTTACTATACAATCGAGGTTCGCAAACTGTCACAGACAGTTGACTAATGATGATAGTGATAGGGGTAGTTGATCGAATAATTCAAATCGGTCTCTTATCAGTTTATCAGCTGCCAATTTAGATAGCTGGTAATGGCGACGGTAAGAAGGATAACAAAAAGAAGAAGCCGGAGAAGGAGGAAAAGAAGTTAGACCGGGAAAAAAAGAAGTCAGGCGAAGATCTGAAACCTGCACCGACGCAGATCAGCAAAAACGAAGAAATGTATGACAATTTCGAAAAATTTTACAGTCAGCACTGAATGGGATAGAACTTCTACTACACTTTCCGGGAACAGGAGGTAAATTGAGGAGGCGTGACTAGGAGAAGACTGGAGGGAAAAGTAAAGATTAAATAAGTGTAAAAAGCGACGAATTAAATTTATAATATCTTGTGCACAAGTAAGTAGCACTATCTTGTGCACAAGATCGAGAGATCGACTCCGCCGCAGAACAATCAGCCCTCTTACCATTCGTCTGTTCGTTTCGATGGTAAATTGGTATTGACACTTGGCCAGGGGTGAAATTCATTATCAGCTTGACTGTCAAGTAAGCCACGAAAGAGGGAGCTGTTGACAACCTTCCTAGCAGATGGTTGCTGTTAGCACTAGCTATCACTAAGATAACTTTTTGAATGTGTTCGCTACTTACAGAGGGTGAATTTAATTGTAAATTAAGCGAATCTTAACTGTGCACATCTTAATTCGACTGCAGAACTGGATCTCGACAATACAGCTGAACTAATAAATATATACTAGTACATCGTGGCGTTTTTTGGCCCCAGTTTTTGCCCTCGTATTTAACATTTTAAGTTATCGTTTATACTTTGGTTTGTTCGGATTTCTAAAAGTCTATGTGAGGGAAAGAGGTGCATTGTAAGTGACTACGCTATGTGGATTTGTAATTGACGACCACAGAAATTTGAAAGTGACCATTCCAGGAAAGAAGAACCCGAAGAGGTCAAGAAACCAAAATCAAAACAAGAAGAGGTTAGTTATTTCTAGCCTTGGCAAAAACTGTGAAGCTCGAAAGCCTGTTTGTTAAAACCACAAGTAATATTCATTTAAACCTTACCAGAAATCCCGTACGTGAAGCAGTCGAGAGCACAAAGGGGGATCATACGCAGAGGAATTTATGTGAGGCTTTTGTTATCCTCAAAAAAAAAAAAATACATACAGTGGTATCAACTAAGCAGAGGGCCTCTAAGCCGTCTTCCTCTTCCATTCAGGGTTGGTACACAACATCTATCAATTGTCAACAAAACGGTAGTGAAACATCTCGTTTTCTCTCTCTTATTACGAAGAGCCAAGGTAAAACGAAGTAGCCCGAGTGGTACTGGTGGCCGTCAGCTCGTAAGGTGCCCACTGCTTCCATTTGGAGGCTTTTGGGGACAAGCTGATGGCTGGTTTAACTCCCAGACATATGCTAATACCAATTTACCATCGAAACGAATGAAAAAATCGTAGAAGGCTTAGTTGTCGAGAACAAACCTCAAAATTCGAGAACAGGCCTCACAATAAAAAGGAGACTTGCACTAATTGCCGTTTAGGTAAAAGACCAACTACCAAAGTCATTTATTGTGGAATTCACTCAAAAAAGTAGTTCGACGAATGCGAATCGATCAAGACACACTCAGCCCGAGTCGGTAGTGCGAGACAATTCACTCGAAGGGATTCCACCGGAAATGCCAAATTTCCAATCCGAATAAGCGGAATCCATAAAACAACGAATTCACTCAAAAAACTATATTCCCTTGCAAAACACTCTTTTCCTACGTTCTTTTTTACTCGCAAAAAGACAAAGAGCAATCTTCTGGAATGTATTGTTTTGTGATCGTTTTACAGTTATGCTTTTTATAAGTAAACTATAAAAAATAAAGAAAATTTGTTGCATCTCCACTGGTGAGAGATCTGTTAACCGGAAAAGTTGGAAAACTGAAATTTTGAATGGTTTTCGCTGCTCGTGCGCAACTCAAAGATTTTAAATTCGGCTACCAAGCACCACTGTTTCTCACGCACGGAACGTGAGATTTCTGGCAGGAGAACTGTCGGTTCGACAAAT